TATGTACAAAAATTATATTTGACGATTACGTGTGCAGTATATCCTAGAATGAAAACGTATAAGGTAGTTTTAAAACAAATTGCCCATATTAATGATGTTATGTAATTTATTATCATTATGAAATTCTAATCTGAATATGCAATAATGTAAGTTTATAATTACTTTGTATTATTAATTTAATCAAACAAAATTAACATAGTCTTACGAATTAGAATAGGAGTCAATAACTTTTAAATTTTAAAGAATTTAATTTTTGAGGTTCATCGTGGTATTCTAATTCAAATTACTTAAGGTGTATAAGGAAATACATGTTAATTTTATTATCAGATCGAACGAATGAACTGGGACAATTTATTAAAGAAATAGACAGGAAGGAAATATTCATAGTGTGATTCTATGCGAGCAGGTAACACCACTTTATACCAGGTGGCTCATTAGCTCGTTCGCTCAATAGAAGCAATAAAATAAAAAGACCTTTCGCTCCATAACTCGTGCGACCTTCTTAAGAAGCCAATACTGAGTATCCAATTATATATAATTATATCCATTACATAGTCTTTACACGGTTCATTTTGGCTTGATCTGTATGTTCGGATCAATAATGCAATGTAATGATATTTTAATTTAGTCACCAATTTTTTTTTTATTGCTTAGATGGGTGGACGACCTGGTGTTATGTGGTTACTGGAGCCCATAGACATCTACATCGTAAATGCGCCACCCACCTTGAAAATTCCGGACGTCAGAACAATTTTAACTTTTGCGACGTTTAAAAATTGGTGACATTACAGAAAATACGTGTCCGTGACCTAGTATTATCACGAACATCATCACAACTCACAATTAACATTGGCAGCAAAACACGTTATCTTAAAAATAAACTGTAATTATTTGTCAGTCATATTAATACATGCATAACATGGAATATGTTTACCGTTGGCAGATTTTAAGCAATTATTGTGTGACATTACCACCTGGTGTGAGCATGAAGTTGTCATGTATGTGTCATGTATGTACGTCTAGTTCTTGAATTTTCACAAAGGACAATATAAATTACACTAAAATATAATTAATAATTTTTTTTATTGCCCTTGTAGGCAGACGAGCATACGGCCCACCTGATGGTGAGTGGTTACCGTCGCCCATCGACTTCAGCAATGCCAGGGGCAGAGCCAAGCCGCTGCCTACCGCTATTTACTGGCAACTGAAACATATAGGTATCTTAGCTAACATATACCGTGTAATATTAGGATTCTGTGTATAAACGAGACTGGACGAATGGTATTAACATAATTGGAGGTCGTCAGCTACAGTCAACCGGTTCGGTGATTCGAGGTTCGGATATGATGTCATCACTGACATCATGAGGTTGCGACCCGTCCACCTTAAGACGACATGTCAACGTTGCATTGGAATGCTGTTCATTCTAAGAAGTTTCAATTTGGAAGACCAAATTGAAACGAGTAAAGTCTTCGCGGTAGAAATAATCAAATCGGTGACACCACCCGAACTCTACAACATTTATCTGTTCCAATGTAGCCAATTCTCTAGCATCACTGACTGGACTTGCATAGAAGACCCTCTGGAACTTCTGTGTATACCTTTGCTAGTTTTACTGAAATATTTACTTTGAAAAAATACCTCTGATACCGGTTGAATAAAGTTAAGTTAAGAAATATTTAATGTGCTATTTAATGTGCCATCTATCTATCGGTCACATTTCTAGGTCGATATAGGCATACTTATAAATTATTATGTAGGTAGGCTAATTACATATCCGACCGCGATCGGGCAACGTAAAGCCGCCGCGCTGTCACCCGAAGCATGTCTTGTCGAATTTCCGGTTTCACTCTTGGTGCTTTTAGGACTCTCAAGCACCGGTCACCGTCCTCGACGAACTCGACGATTACGACGAAGAGTTCGACGAGCGAACTAACTCATAGACACAGTCCACTGAGTTTCTCGGCGGCTCTTCTCAATGGGTCACGATTCCAATCCGATTAGATTCTGCGAAGCATTGCTCTTGCTAGGGCTAGTGTTTGCAAATTCTCTCAAGTTGAGCCCGTGAGCTCACCTACCCGCCTGGGCGTAACTGGAATAGACTTTTAGGATACCAGCGAATACGTAGGGAAAAAAAATCAACTTGAGTGATACCACCACCCTAACACCCTATTTATCTAGTACAAGAAAGAGTTTTGACAGACGGCATATGCTATAAATGATACCTAAACGCATTCAATATAAACGCAGAGTTCCAGTTAATAGAAAAATATACTGCTTTAGTGGCGGGTAAGCTGATATTAAGAGACGATCTCCAAGATCATTCAGAGCATCTCCATCAATGAGTACTACTATTCAGAAGGATCGTTTATACTAGCATACTATTTTTTTGTTTATATTTAGAGTCTCTGGAAAGAATAGTGCTCGTGTTCTCAATAAATGTTTCATCAGTTCAAAGCTACAGTATAAAGCAATTTTGATTACTATATGATCCACATTTAATTTACTAACAATTATTGAAACGAAGTCGCGACTTCCAAAGATCCAAGATAATAAATATCTTGCTATTGATCAGAAAATACATATTGCAACGACTGCCTCCTGGAGTTGTATTGTTTTTTTTGCCTATACTACCTCCGTCTGTAGTGGCAATACTGTTACCAATTTTAACTACATAATTACCAGAATCAGGCCTATCTTTACCGCGAGCCGTTAAGGATGAAATTTGCAGATTGTATAATCGTTATATTAGTGTATTTGCTGCTACAATCTTAAATTTTAATTATAATTCACGCTGTGTTTATTTGATTCGATAATCCCTTAATATCAGGTTCGCTGTAAGCCATTATGACAATTTTAAGTATCATAGTAAATTAACGTGGCATTTCACAACAGAAAGCTGACCTTACTTAGCTGCTGGTATATAAACATTTTGCAAACTCTACCCTCAGACACAGCCCACTGAGTTTCTCGCCGGATCTTCTCAGTGGGTCGCGTTTCCGATCCGGTGGTAGATAGCAACGTCGTCAGGTTTGAGCCCCGTGAGCTCACCTACTAGTTAAGGTTACGCTGGAATAGCCTCTCAAGGCTACCAGCTTAGGTAGGAAAAAAAAAAGCAAACTATATGTACAGGTGTGGTGATATCCATTTTGTTATTAATTAAATTGTAAAAGGAGTTTCTAATATCTAGGTCGGCGCACCCTAATTCGAAGTAGCGCACACCCGTCGTTACCTAGGGAGGGTGAGCCCTACCCTACCCCCATAAACGGACATCGACTTTATAGGCCTTTCCTTAAAAAATACTGTTAGCCTAGATGAAATGATAAAGTAAATTATCATAGTAAGTAATTGAGCACCTTGGTCGTCCGTTGACCACGAAATCTGTGGAGTATTTAAAACATCAGAAATATCATCATAATTTAAAAAATGAGAGAGAGATTAAATTGTAAAATTATATTTAATTACATCTATAACTCACGAAAACCGAAGATAATAATTAAAGGAAATTGTTTTACTTGGACAATCATAGTTTATTTTGTTACAGGTTTCTATAGGTAGTTGCAGAAATTATTATAAGCTCGAAAACGAACTAATTTTGTATTTCATTGACAAATTAATTTCTCATAGATCTTGAAACATACTTTAAATTTTTCACTTGAAAATTTCATGAAAGATCACGGCCTATCAAGTGTTAACTGGTTACGGGAGGCAATAGACATCACAACGTAAATACCACTTGTATAATATTTATATACGTAAATATTTAATGACCAGTCTACATTTTAGCGGACAACGGTCCCAAAATTCATGACAGAACGCATAACTGCATCATGATCGATATAGGTAAGTTGGTGATATCTACCTGGGCAGGCTTACATTGCGCTATGGGGTAGGAACACATAGCCGAACCCTAATCAAAGAGTCATCATTATATTAGTATTCAATTCAGTTCCAAGTTGCTTTCTCAAAGTTGTATTCTGGTGTTGTGTTCAATCACGCACCTACTGCGTTTTCCCGAACCTATAATGCATCTTTTCATTCGTTACACTTTTCAAGATGGACCAGATTTTTTCTTTTAATAGTGCCATTGCTACTGGTAAGTCATCGCTGTATGTTTCATGGAACTTTTTGTTCTTGAAATCATCAGAATACGTGGTCCCTCATATGTACAGACATACGTACAGTCAAACATTAACTGATAGGAAACGACCATACAAATAATTTACTCGTCAGTTCAGATTCTTACTAGACTGTTATCTATATACCTATCTAGCCTACCTATAGAGCCTTGCAGTAGTAAAAGCTCTGGTCATGTGCCTTATGCTGATGTTTAGTTAAATAAAATCACTATTATGTGTTATTCCTCTTTTATAAAAATAAAAACCAGTATAGGTGTGCCTTTGTCTTCTATTGCAATTAATTTTTGTACAGTTGTTGGCACTCCGGGGAAGGTTTCGAAGTAACATCAAAGAGCAATAGATGGCGTGCGAGTAGTTTCAAGAAATCGATGTTTTTCATACATGTAGATATTGTATAGATACAACGAAATATGTATAAACTCTCTTTCTTTCTCTCAATCGTGTCACTCATGACAGAGTGGTCAAGATCGTCATGTAGTGTTGGAGGCGGTATAGACTCTCTTTATTAGACCGTGTTTCCAAAATAATTAGTAAATACAAAATATCATGAAATTATTCAAAATTAGTAAGCTGAACAATGCACACTTCAAATATCTGAACTTGTAATTTATAAATAAGTATAATTGATGACTGTGTCCGTAGTTACAAAGTGGATTTAGAATTAAGAACATTGAGAAATATTAAATTTTGTTTGGTCTTAAAAATAATGAAATGTTTTAAAACATTGATTGTCAGAAACCAATTGACACACTACAATAACGAAGAAACTATGCACATACATAACATTTAAATTTTTAGCTTATTTTTATTTATTAATCGGGCCGGTTTAAATATTCGAGCGTATAAGTAAAAAAATATTACCAAAGCTTTTCGAAGATTCTTCACTACCTATTGTCTCTAAGCGTCGATTGTAAATCTTTTACAAATAAGATTATTGTAATACACTAAATTCACCTTTAATTTTATATTTTAAAATCCACTTTACACGGCACAATTCCTACGTCCGCTATGGAGCAGAAACTTGTTACAACTTCGGACAAGTAGCTAAACTCGGCCGAAGCTACGCACGACTCTGGCTGGCGGCTACCGCACGTTTGGATAGGCTGAACGAACACGCTTTTCGTAACTGTTTGGTACATAATATCGTTGCGTTGCCGCTTCGTACTGAATTTAGCAGCAGAATAATCATATTACCCTCGACATATTTTAGAACTGCCATGGAAAATCAGTATCTTAAAAGGAAAATTGCATTGAAAGCGGTTTTTGATGCCTAGCAAGGAGACAGCGCAATGATTTTACTCGGTAGGTATGCTTAAATTTCATTAACTAGTATGGGGCCATTAAATTTAACGGCTTTTTTGTTTTTGGGTATAAATGATGAATAAAACGAGGTTGTGTTACATTTTTTATTTACGTTGGGAAGTATTTAAGATACTTGATACTTTGATTAAGATACGTTGATATCTTTTCCCCCTAGTGAGCCAATGGCGAAATATGTAATTCAGTTTCTGAGGTAAAATGAACGCCTATCTGACTAAAAACTCAGGGTGTGTTCGTAAATCGGCAACTCACGAAGCGCTAGTTAAAACTCAAGAACAGCAATTCCTGAAAAGTTTACAGAAACAAACCGTAACCTTCACGGGCCCTTGCTGAAAATCCCACACCGACACTAGCGAGAATGCATCTGAGCGACCCACACGTAGATGGAAAACAAACGAAAGTCCACATTAATGACCTAAGAGTTGTTCATTTGTATAAAGAAACTCCTTACGCTTTCGAATCTAACGGTGCCACCACCGTGATGCAAACCTACATCGTGATGGGAACAAGAAGATCTGAGGAACAAACCTTCGTAGATCATTCTTATTGGTATTTTACCGATTACTAAATACATTATCGGATCGCGTGCTTGTCGACTCATTAAGAATAGTGGTTTTAAACCTGCGGTACGCATGCCGCTGGAGGTATGTGAGGTCCCATTGAGGTCATATGAAATTTATATCTGTAGTGATGGAAATACTCAGAAGTTAAAACAGCTAAGAAATTATTTGCATTATTTTTTCCTCAGCAATGTTTATCAAGGAATCTTTAATATTGATTTCATGCATCTTCCTTCAAACGCGACCAACCATGAACCTTCTAAATAGTAAAATAAAAAAAGACGTTAATGTATAGAATCTGCGTTTACATGAATTTTTTACCACAAGCAAGTATTTTTCTGTTGGAGGTGTTGCTAACACAAGTCCTAGCAGGAACAGTGCTTCGCTGAATCTACTAACGCATCGGAATCGCGACCTACTGAGAAGATCCGGCGAGAAACTCAGTTGTGTTTATGGGCTAGTTCGCACGTCGTTTATGGGCTAGGACGGTGACCGGTGCTTGAAGAGACTAAATTTTTTTTTTTATTGCCCTTGTTGGCAGACGAGCATACGGCCCACCTGATGGTGAGTGGTTACCGTCGCCCATAGAGTTCAGTAATGCCAGGGGCAGAGCCAAGCCGCTGCCTACCGCTATTTACTGGCAGCTGAAACATATAGGTATCTTAGCTAACATATACCGTGTAATATTAGGATTCTGCCTCTTTTAAAGAAGAACATGTCATAGCGCTCGGGAAATACCGTGGAGGGGAGCTCATTCCATAGCCGGATGGTACGTGGCAAAGCATCGAGAGTGGATCTAGGGGATCCGACAAGACATGTTTTGGGCGACGGCGCGGCGGCTTTGCTTTGCCTCGTCGCCTGGGTCGGATTTAGCAGTGGCCACGATAAGAGGGTTATTGTGCCGTGCTGCTTTTTCAAAATAGCGTTCTAACGCTCTTCTAAGATACTTACGTATAGGATCTAGATTTAGGTCGTCGTGAAGATCTACATTCCTCACACACCACGGTGCTCCGACGGCTACCCTGCAGAAGAGGAATTGGATGACCTGGAGAGAGTTAATGTATGTACGGGCCGCGTGAGCCAACAGTACACTTGCATAGTTCATGACAGAACGTATGCAAGTTTTGTAGAGTGTCACCTTCCTACGAAGGTACAATTTACTTGGCTTGCAAATCATGGGATAGAGACGTTCTAATATGAAGGCGGCACGGTCGCGTACCGGTTTGATGTGGGGACAGAATGTCACCCCTCTGTCGAGGGTGACGCCTAGGTACTTGGCCTTCGAAGCCAACGGTATGGGCTGGTCAAAGATTTTGATGGCGGGAATGGAGTTGCCGCGCCTAATTGGTGACGAGATAGGTACTAGTCGGGAGTGCGACCCCTTTTAAAGAGCACGGCCGTGCTTTTCGTGCGGAGCAAGTAGGTATAAAACGTTTCGTGTTTCTCACTTTTAAATGGATGATGGAAGGGAATTATTTGGGAGCACCTACAGAACTAAACGTGATTGAAATGGGTCGCTGATAGGGGCATGGTATGCTGAGAATTTGTGAAGACATTGTTGTTCCCTTACTTAAGGTATAGATTTATATATGCAAACTAACATACTGCGAATATAGTGGCAGAATATCTTTGTTGAAATAAGGGTACGTGAAGAGGCGAGCGCGACTTAAAAGAAGTTTACAAATACCCAAAAAAAGTAGAATACTATGAAAATAGTATTGTTTCACAAACAAGACTGGTAACCTATGTAGTACCGATTTTGCATTTGATTTATTTTACATTACAAATAATTTTGTAAATAGACATGTTTTAACAAAAATCGACTTCAAATAGAAAAAAAAAGATATTCCAAAGCAAATTAATATACATACATACTTAAATATAAGAAGGAATTGTTGTTCGTTAGTCTCGCTAAAACTCGAGAACGGCTGGACCGATTTGGCTAATTTTGGTCTTAAATTATTTGTGGAAGTCCAGAGAAGCTTTAAAAGGTAGATAAATATGATTTTTTTTTTATTGCTTAGATGTGTGGACGAGCTCACAGCCCACCTGGTGCTAAGTGGTTATATGGAGCCCATATACATCTATAACGTAAATGCGCCACACACCTTGAGATATAGTTCTAAGGTCTCAGTATAGTCACAACGGCTGCCCCACCCTTCAAACCGAAACGCATTACTGCTTCACGGCAGAAATAGGCGGGGCGGTGGTACCTACCCGTGCGGACTCACAAAAGGTCCTACCACCAGTAATTACGCAAATTATAATTTTGCAGGTTTCATTTTTATTGCACGATGTTATTCCTTCACCGTGGAAGTAAATCGTGAACATTTGTTAAATACGTATTTCATTAGAAAAATTGGTACCCGCCTGCGGGATTCGAACACCGTTGCATCGCTCGACACGAGTGCACCGGCCGTCTTACCCTTTAGGCCTTAGGCACCGACGACTTCGAATGCTCGGAATTAAATAAAAATAACAATTGTTTTTTTCCTTTGATATATCGCCCGTTGGACGGATTCCTTTTGTTTGTTTTAAGTTTATTTTATACAAAAGCTTATAATTATCTTTTATTTATCGATTGAGGCACTACGAAGTCTGCCGGATCATCTAGTATAAACTAAAAACAATAATCATCGAAATCAGTTGGCGTGATATTGAGTTATTCATCTATTTGTCGCGCACGTATTTAATGCAAATTTAAGACTTATATGGTTTTCTCATGGATACCATTACCAGAACTAAACTAAATTGTAATGGGATCACAGGGGAAGCGTCAGGTATCTAATAAAAAAAAATTCAGTCAAAAGTTATGAGATAACAAATATAAAAAAACCATACAGTGGAATTGAGAACCTCTTCCTTTTTGAAGTCGGTTAAAAAAGTGACATTTATCGGTACATCGGAAAAAACAGGATTTTAATGACTCAAAGAGTATGGGCCGAAAATAATTTTTAATGCATGCTTTTAGTCTAAACACCATAATTCGCTATCGGCAGCTGTTAGCAAATTCCACCACTCCTGGCTGAGCCTTTACTCGCCCACCTGCCCTGGTAAAACTGGAGAGACCTCCGGGCCACCAGTACCTAATACCACTGAGCAAGTAATCACTAGGTACGTTATACCTAATACCTCAAGCAAAAAAAGAACATTATTTCGGAACAACAGCCACGAAAAAAATTTTTTAACGGATTTTATGACCTGGTAACTAAGACCTTTAAGTCAAGTCTTATTTTAATTTTTAATCTTATTTTTATGAAAAATTATAATATGGAGTGAAATGAATTTAAATGAAGATGATTAATTTGAGACATTAATGAACTGGGATGAAATTAAAAGAAATGAGATGATATAGGATGAAATATAATCTCAGTTAAATGGTGATCATTTACTGAGACTTTTTCAGTGGACTTTTTGGAAGATCCCGAGAAGTTAAGTCAGCGGCTTTGTTTCATTTTCCCACATTTGTGCACTTTCACAGATACTAAACAGTTAATAAACCACCGTTATTACACATTTAAACCTGAAGAAACACTAAGTAGACAAAATAAAACAAATCACACAGCTTCACTCCTCGCGTTCCCGCCAAAAAGTCCATGAAACAATATCACAGACAGTGCTGCCAGGTTGGATTGAAAAAAATACAGTGTTCCGCATGTAAAATGACAGTAGATCGATTGGAAAAAATAGTAATAAATCATAAACCTCATTACAGTGTTTTTAATGTGAAAAAAAAAACAATTTTATTGGAAATTTCTTTTGAAAATTTCTGCTTACAAGTTCTCTTTTTTTTCGGCGTGGAGGGTCCTTGGTCGTCGCTTTCACGAGCCGACATTTTTAATGACAATGTTAAAAGTAATACTAATTATAATACAATTAAGCTGAACAATGTAGCTACTATTTCAAAATGAACCTTTTCTTATTGCTTAGATGGTTAGACACAGCCCACCTGGTATTAAGTTGTTACTGGAGCCCATAGATATCTACAACGTAAATGCACCACCCACCTTGAGATATAAGTTCTAAGGTCTCGAGTATAGTTACAACGGCTGCTCCACCCTTCAAACCAAAACGCATTACTACTTCACGGAGAAATAGGCAGGGTGGTAGTACCTACCCATGCGGACTCACAAGAATTCCTACCCCCAATAATTACACAAATTATAATTTGATTTTTATTACACGATGTTATTCTTTTAACGTGGAAGTCAATCGTGAACATTTGTTGAGT